CTGTAGTTCAAGGTATTAATTGTCTGTCTGCAAGTTGATTTAGGAAGAAAAGATTCTGAACATTTTTTTCTATGCTTCAGTGATTTACACATTTCTTTGGTTGCTAAATTAATACATTTTATTTAATTTATGAATAATGTTTAATTTTTTGTTCTTGTGTTTCAACACTTTTAGAAATTAATTAATGTTTGGTTCTTTTGTCTTTCTGATATATCTTTATTGTTAGAAAGAGATGTTAGTAAAAACTCTTTCCAGTAATTAAAGTAATATCATGACAAATAGTTCTGAAATTCTTATGGATAACAGTTTAAATGATTCTTGGGTGAGGTCAGAAGTGATAGGTTGTTTCAAACCATGACTTTTTGCAGTATTTTTTTATTGTTTTTTGATTAAGTATTTATTAATAACTTAGCCTAAGTTAATCTACTTGTAACTTTTTATAAATGTACTATAAAAATAATGTTGTGTAATTATTTTCTTAAACCTTTAGGTTAACAAACTTTCTAAAATTGGAGGTTAAACCATTAAGACAAATACAAATACATGTGATGCAAAGGTTTGTTAAAAGTAGTTTTAAATAAAAAATCTTTTGAATCTTTTTTATAGTTTGTTTTAAACTTGTGTTTAAAATCTGTGTAGCATATATTTTTAAAAGTTTGACGAATTCTAATCAGACATAAAATGAATCTTTTTTTTTTATGTCTGATTATAATTTTTTTTGTAACTGTTTTCTCTTACTTTTGTATTTCCTTGAGCTAAAGAACAACTTTAAAGTACAAAGCTTGATTTGTAACGCATACTTAACTTTTTTTTTTACTCTATATATACATACATATATATGTACATAAATAAACACACATATATATGTATGTATATATATGTACATGTGCTTAAATGAATATATTATATATATATATATATATATATATATATATATATATATATATATATATATATATATATATATATATATATATATGAATGTATATATATATATATATATATATATATATATATATATATATATATATATATATATATATATATATATATATATATATATATATTTATATATATATATATATATATATATATATATATATATAATATTAATAGTGCAATTTAAAGTTTTTTCTTTTATTTATAAAGTTATATTTGATAAAAACAAATAAATAAAGATGAACATTTTGAATATTTATTAATTATTATGATAAATTATATAAAATACAGTCTTGTGACAATTTATTATGGCCACCCACAATTTTTCAAAATTATTAAGTTTCAAAGTCTATTATTTTAGTATTTTTTTGTGATTTATGTACTCAAAGTAACTTTTGTTTAAGAAATGGGTATTTTTTTGACAAATAAAAACATTTAACATATTGTTTATTATTTTATTATTAAAATATTATTAAATAAATTTTATTATTCAAACAAAATAAATTTTATTATTCAAATATTACTGCAAATATGTTCAAGATCAATATTTGGTGATTCCTCCTTTGCCTCTATAATTGCAGGAACCCTTTTTAGCATACTTTTAATGCATTTTTGAGCCATTTCCTTCAATTCTTTATTTTAGTTCCAATGTTGAATAATTCTTTCTATTAAATACACTTTATTTGTAATAATTTTTTCAGATATTTGCTTCTTTAGAAGCGCCCAAACATTTTCTATAGGATTTAGGTCAGAAGAGTTTCCTGGCCAATCAAGTAATGGAATATTTTGTTCTGATAGATATTTTTTAACTGATTTAGCTGTGCAACATGGTCATGCCCTACATGGTCACCTTGCATACCTGGACAAGTGTACGCGGTGATGCAGGGCTTTTGTATGAGTTTACCCTTTTTCCGTTTGTTGTCGGTTGCTATTATCAATTTGACAAATAAATGTTAGTTCAAGCCGCTAAAGACAAATTTATTTAAATTTAAATTGAAACCTTGCAGTTTTTTCACTTAGATTTATTGACCTTAAAAACTCGCTTTAATATATTTTGTCTTGTTTAAATAAATTTGTGTCTAAGATCATTGTGGATCTAAGACACAAATTGCAGTTTTTTCAATTAGATTTATTTACCTTAAAAACTCGCTTAAATATATTTTGTCTTGCATTGTGGATCTAAGACACAAATTGGAGCTTTTATTGCATTGTATACCTTTGATCCCGCGATACTCTTTTCCCTAGCTGATTAAGTTAAAATTTATTATCTTAATAATTTAGGACACTTTCGAATGTTCTCTATTTTTTATATTTTTTATGTTCTCTAAACACAACATTATTAACCAATCACCTTACACTTTCATCCTCCAATCAATAAGGATATTTTTTGACCAATAGCGTTATTATTTACTGAGGCTTCGCTTGAGGGATATTTCGATTAACCGCAAATTTACGTCATACAACATCTGTGTATAATATCACAATTTACATGCGCTCTATAAACAATCTTGGTAAGTATTCATTTCCTGCATGGTGTTAGGATTCTCTTCTTTCCACATTTACCAACTCTCTTTGGCATCAAGTTCTCCATATTAGCATTTTTTTGTGTATATTTTGTACAGATATCCGCAAAATACCATATTTTCTGGCTATTTTTCATTGAGAATGATCAGTATTTATTAAAAGTGCCCTGATTTCAGCAATTTTTTGTGACAAGCTTTTTTTTTCCCTCATAACTAAAATAAGATATCACATATCAGTACTACAGTTAAGAATTTGCTTTGGTACTCATAACTTTAAAAATATCAAACTAAATACAACTATTTTTAATTAAAAATAAAAAGAAATATTCAAGAAATTTTTACTGATTTAAATAAGTAATATGACGATAACCTAATAAAAGAATTCAAAACTCTGGTAATAAAACTTAACAAGTGTACAGCAAAAAGATTATAATTAAGATGACATCATACAAAATGGCTGTCAAAAGGGACAGTGTTGCCCGTAGCAAAAAAAAGCATTGATTTTATAAGTTAAAACTTTATTTTAAACAGAAGATTAACTTTCAATCATGAATTTTTACTCTTCATATGAAAAAAATGAGATTAAATTTCAAAATGATCAAAACTCATAGGTGGCCATAATAAATTGTCACACAACTGTATATATAAAGTATAAATATTTTGCAAAAACACTTTTGTTTGCAATAACTGCTTCATTGCATTGTGGGATGCTTGCAATTTATTTTTTATAGTTTCTGTCAACTCTGGGTTATTATGCTAGATCTTGATAATCTCTTCCATAAGATCTTCCATAAGATTTTTTTTTCCAATCTCTTGCTTTACTATTTCCCAAATATTTTCTATGGGGTTAAGATCATGCGAGTTGTCTGGCTATAGCAATACATCAACTAAGCCATAACAGTTTTCATTGTGTGGCAAGTTGCACCATCTTGCATAAATATAAGATTTTTGACATTATTTTTAAATTTTTTTGTCAATTTTCGACATTTTCGGCTGGACATCAATCCCTATTCTTTTAGCCTTCTACAAATGGTCTGGTCTGACACAACAGTTACAGCTTCATGGATAAGCTTAGTGGCTTTTTTTCTCTTTTCCAGGCAGATATTTCTGATTATACTGTCCGCTCTTGGTGTTTTCTTGCGTTTAGAAGGTGGTCTCCTTGGACCAAACTCTTCCCCTGTATGAATTCTTTTTCTTACTTGCATTACGGTTTGGTAAGAAACCTTTTGCGTTGGGTGAGAAACCTTTGGTAAGAAACCTTTGTGCTATTTTTCATTAAGAATAATTTGTATTTTGTAAAAGACATGTATATCAATTTTTGTTACTATGATATTAATAACAATGTATAATGTAGGTTGTTGACCAATGGTTTATAATCAAAATTTAATATGGCTGACGGTAAAGGTAAAGAGAAATTTAAAGGAACAAACATTAGGTATTTACTTGTAAGTTAAGTGTAAAATTATATATTTTTAAAAATCACAATTCGTTTTTTTAATGCTATTTTATTTTTAACTTTTTGATGTATTTGATGAAAATTACTCAGGAAATATCTTTTTTATAGAGAGAGTTTTGTCAATTAAAGTGACTGCTACAGTTGCCGAAATAAGAAAAGGAATAATGAATTTATTAAAATACGCACTCGACAGATCAAATGGTGGTGGTCGGCGCGTAAAAGGCGATTAACCCGATGTATAACATTCATACTTTTTCCTAGTTGTTCTGGAACTATTGATAATAGTTATTATTGATAAATTAATAAATATAATACTGATAACTAAAACTTTTTTTTTTCAAACATTTTATTTTATTTGCATTGTATATAAAGTCCGTTGAAGCAATTTAGTTGTATCTGATTAATTTACGTGAAATATAATATCCTCTGCGCAAATTATTGCTTTTTTATTGTGTTAATTTATTGCAATTAAAGTTGAGAAAATTTTTTAGTTAATTGGATTTAACCAAAATAAAAAACAAAAATCAACGTTGAATTTACGTTGTTTCAACGTTGTTTTAACGTCTTATCAACTACGTATCAATCGAATATATCACCTATTCAAAGTTGAAATATGGTTGATATGTAGTCGATAAGACGTTAGATCAACGTTGAAACGACGTAATCATCGACGTTGTTTCAACGTCGTAGTTTTCGACGTAGTTTTTGTCGTATTTTATTTCCAATTCAACCAAATTTCAACGTTGTTTCAACGTGGCATATGGTCGGTTTGCGACGTTGTTTCAACGTTATTTCAACGTCATTGTGCCGGCTGGGGAAACACAAGAACAAAACATTTATAAAATAAAACATTCATAAATTAAATAAAATGTTTTAATTTAGCAACAAATAAAATGTGTAAATCACTGAAGAATAGAAAAAAATGTTCAGAATCTTTTCTTCCTAAATCAACTTGCAGACAGACAATTAATACCTTGAGCTACAGTATGTGGAGTATGCAAAAAAAAATTGCTTTCTGTTTCTTTTTTTGTGTTACAAGAGTAGGTACTTGCTTACTATTCTGTTGGTTACTATGTTTTTTCTTGCATAAGCATGGTAGTGGCTCCTATAAAATTTAATATCAAAATAAAACTAATAATATTTGAATTAAGTATTGTTTAAAATAGTTACCGTTTTCTGAATCTGATTCTATCTGAATATCACTAGTTGTAGCAAATTCAAATTTATCACATAACTCATGATCTAAGATTATTCATTCAATTTGAAAATGTTTTAAATATATCATATAATAAAGAATATATAATAAAGAATATATCTAAACACTGAAAATAACATATACAGAATGAAAGTATGTTAAAAAAACAAGGAAAATGGAATAACTTAATGTTTATATAAAAAAAATTACATTATCTCCATGACATTTAATTTTGAGCAGCTTAAATCTGCATTAGTTAAACTGTGGTTTATGCATTTCATTCAAACAATTTATTACATTTAACCATGATGGCCAGCACAAAAAATTATCAATCAAATTTTTTCTCTTTATTTCTCTGTATTTTTTATCCAAACAGCTCAAATGAACATTTTGCTTGCCCTAATATACTTTTTCAACTGGAAAAGTATAGTAGAAACTATAATAGAAAAATACTCATATATTAAAAATTTGTTAATGTAAAATAGCTAACAGAAAAATACAACTTTAAACTGTACGTAATGATACATTATACAGTTGCTAAAATTTGCTAAATTTTTATGTTGATCCTTCTACCAACCAATATCATGGACTAAAGGAGCAAGCATAAATTCTTTTTTATACAAATTTACAAGAAAAATCTTTAAAAAATTATTATAAATTATTTAATATAAAAAATATTCAAACTCTTTAAATCACGAGGATAGTTAAAAAAGCTTGATAAATCATTATTTTGTAAAACATCATCCATTTTCATACACAAAATCAACACAATAAAACTTTCCATTAGTTATATATATATATATATATATATATATATATATATATATATATATATATATATATATATATATATATACATATTTATATATATATATATATATATATATATATATATATATATATATATATATATATATATATATATATATGTATATATATATATATATACATATATATATATACATATATATATATATATATATATTATATATATATATATATATATATATATATATATATATATATATATATATATACATATATATATGTTTCTATATGTATATATATATCTATACATATATATATCTATACATATATATATATATACATATATATATATATATATATATATATATATATATATATATATATATATATATATATATATATATATATATATATATATATGTTTCTATATGTATATATATATCTATACATATATATATATCTATACATATATATATATATACATATATATATATATATATATATATATATATATATATATATATATTTATATATATATATATATATATATATATATATATATATATATACATACATATATATATATATATATATATATATATATATATATATATATATATATATATATATATATATATATATATATATATATATATATATATATATATATATATATATATATATATATATATATAATATATATATACAAACAAGTACTGTCAAATAAACTAACATTCATAGTAAAACAATTTAATCAAACTCTAAAAAAAAACTTACTTAAAAAACTGAAAAAATAATTCAAGTAATCTCTACTTGTAATCCACACTCATGAAATAATACGGTCATAAAGAAATATCCATTTAATATTTACCTAACTAACTGCATCACAAGTTAAGCCATGTATTATTGTTAAATTGTCAAATTCAAAACCTTATAAAAAGGCAACAGATAGCCTAATTTATTAGCATGTGTGACTTTACCTGATTTTATTGGGCTAATAAGTAATTTGTCAAGTCTTTTCTTCCTGGTGGGAAATCGGCTAGCGAATAGCTAGCGATATTCGTTACGATTAAGACAGCGATTTGGCCACAAGGATCGTTAGCTTTATAAGCTAGCGATCCGCTAGCTAAACAAGCTAGCGAATAGCTAGCGATATTCGTTACGATTAAGACAGCGATTTGGCCATGAGGATCGTTAGCTTTATAAGCTAGTGATCCGCTAGCTAAACAAGCTAGCGAATAGCTAGCGATATTCGTTACGATAAAGACAGCGGTATGGCCACGAGGATTGCTAGCTAAATAAGCTAGCGAATAGCTAGCATTAAGTCGTTACGACAATGACATCAATTTGGTTAGAAAGTCTCGGCTAGGTTAGAAGATATGCTCAAAGAATCGCGTGCAATATTTTTCAGGGGAGTGAATTATAACCATTAAAATAATATTGCATTTATAACAAATTAAATACAAAATGTTTATACTTGTTTCCATAAAAAGTTATAAATGTTAAATCCATTATAAAATGTTAAAAGAAAAGTTATAGATTACTTTTGAAAAATAAAAAGTCATTAACAACTAAATGATTTTGCCTAAACTAAATTAATAATTTCAAAAGATATTTAAAAAGATAATAGAATAAAATTTCTGTCAAACTTTAGTTTTTTTTTTAAATCTTTATCAATTTTCGAAAATAATTGCTAAAAAAGTTGTAACAAATAAAATATTTAAAAAAAAAAAAGTCAATAAAAAATAATAGAACAAATAAACAAAAAAAAAATAAGTTAACTGGAATCACTACATGAGTCAGTGTTTAAATTTCTTTTTTTTCTAACAGGACTGTGTATTTGTATATCACTTGTTAAAGAAGAACTTCTCTTTCTTGCAGCAAAATAACGATCTTTAGACTTTTTCAAGTGTTTCGCAATTATTGTAGTCATACTGGATTCAGTGGCAGTTGGAAATCAACAGTAAGCTGCATCAAAAATCAAACTTTCGACTGGTCCTATAAACCTACGCTTTTTATCTGCACCAGTTCAATTAATGCTGCAGCACAGCTTGTCTGTTAAACAAGTTTTTAAAGCATTTTTTAAAAAGTCACTTACATTTCACCCATCAATTTGCTTTAACTTTCTGCAAATGATATCTTTATCATTAGAGTTAATTATTTTATTTTCTAGTGAGTCAAACTCTTCAACTGAATAAGCTGGTAAATAATCTAAATTAATATTTTCTTTATTACCATGATTAGTGTCTAAAATTGAACGCATGGAACGCATTTCTGTTTCCAACCCACAAAGTTTTCTGTACATGGAGTTCACTATAAATTGAATGTCTTCAACACTATTGGGTTCAACATTTGCTTTCCGAATAAAGTTATTTTTTTGGTCTATCCCAGTTTTTTGAGATGGTAAAGAAAAGGAAGAAGATGAATGCAGTAACGGTTGAACTTGTGAAACAGACTGCATTTCTGATGGAAACACTATCTGTGTAACTGGCAAGTCATCTTCTTGATCCATTGAGGCAGAGGGACAACAAGTTCTAAACAAAATTAACAATGATTATAAATACATTCACAATATTCTGATTATATTGTACTTTTTTTTTTTTAATTAAAAAATGGTAACTAAAAAAAGCAAATACACCATAAAAGTTAAACAAAAAAAAATATTATTTTTACGAATGGGATAAAATTTTAAAATGTATACTGAATCGGAATCAGGAAGCTTTGGTGGCTTCCATAATGGTAATGATGGTAAAGGAGGTTCTTCAAAAATACATTTTTTTTTTCTTTTTCTGTTTTGTTGACTTAAAGGAGTTTTCTTGTGTTTTTTTTTTGATGTATTAAAATCAATTTCTACTTCTGATTCTGCAGTAAGAATATGCTTAAAAAATTAACTTTTTTAATATCATACAATCATAGCTTTATACAATATACATATCATAGATCTTCCATGCAATATTTTAAAAATCCAGAGATTTGTTTGGGTAAAATAACCGGAAAATATTTTCTCTTATTTTCCTCTTATTTTTGCTTATTGCTGAGTTTTTTCTTTTTTTTTTTCAAATTTTTCTTTATTTTTTTATGAGTGATGAGTGAAAAAGCTTATAAAACAAATAGATGTATTTAAACTTTTAAGTATAGAAAATGTTTTAGATATCCAGCAAAAAAAAAGTTACAAAAACTTCCAGAATTCTGGAAATATCCAAAAAAGGTTAATCGTTGACATATACAAAAATCTGTTACTAGAAAAGGACAAAAGAAATCATAATAAATACAGCTCATAATCAACTCAACTTTACCTAAGTTGAATACTCAACACATTTTATGCAATGCTTTGTGCATTGATTACAATAAAAATAATTTATTGAGTTAGTTTAAAAATGCTCACATTCAAAGGTGGGCCGAAACTACAACTGTATAAAAAACTATCGACATTCCGTGCTAAAATATAGATAGCTAAAAAAAGCTGCGATATATAGCAAGCAAATAGCTATAGACTTTTTGTAATCTTCTAGCTAGCTTAAACGCTACTGTATTAGGCACTTCAACATTTTTAGAAAAAATGTAAAATGAAAACAAAACAAACTTCATTAGTTTGAACTAAAAATCAACAGTTAAAAAATAACAAACTTATCGTTTTATTATTATTAGTTGAAAATTTGTTTAACTTTTAAACTACAAAGTTAAAGCTTTTTATTGTATGATTTTTGAGGTTTTCAGCAATTTAACGTTTTTAAGAATCGCATCAACGTTTTTGGTTTTATACAAAAGCAAAAACGTTGATGCGTTTAAACAAGACCGTTATTATTTAAAACTAAATATGTAATACCAAAAATTTTATAGTAAATGGAATTTCAATAATTAGGAAACAACCAACATTGGACATAATAAGTCTGTGACAACTTTTTTTAAACATTTTATTTAATGGTAACGCAAAAAAGGGTTTTTAAAAATAATAAAATGATTTTAAAAACTCATTTTATAAAACATAAATATCGTATAACAAGAAAATGATTTTAAAAGAACTTTAAATGACTGTTTAAATTAATATTAAACTGTTTAAATTAATATTATTTAAATAATATTTTGAACTTGAATTATGTATGAATCAACCTTAGCCCCTATATTCATTTTGTTAAATTTTAAATATTGCCTATAGTGAGGAAAAAGCAAGTAAAAATATCTCAAAAACGCTCAAAGTAACCCTCGTAAAGCTCAACAACAAAGTAACGCTCGAAGTAACCCTCAAAAACGCTCAAAGTAACGGTTTACGGTAACATAATAAAAACTAAAGTAAAAGAGGAAAATGCGAGTTAAATTATTAGTCCTACATATAGATCAAATAAATGAAATGTAATTACCGTTGCAACTTGGCCCATCCGTTTAGAGCTTTGAAGAAAGCTGTTGCATTCCGAAGGTTTATCTTTAGATCTTTTACATGCCATTTTTGATATTGATATTGATATTTTCGAAACAATATGAATAGTAGAGTGGTACTGCGAAAAAAGCAATATCGATAAAATTGTTGGTTATGTATAGTAAATTTCAATATGACAAATTAAGTCGTTAGTAAAATATTGCCAAAAATCATTAGTTGCATAACTGGTAATGCGGTATACTAAATTGCGTAATGCGGTATACTAAAGTATGTTAATTAAAACTTCTAGACAGCAATTTCA